CCCCGAGGTCGCAGCAGGGATTGCCTACCATCGCCGAAGTGGTAGAAGGGTTACCTGCTACAGGTTTTCAACTCATGTCGAGAGTTGGGGAATTTTTCCGTGTAGCGCGCACTGAGGTGGTGCAAGTACCCGCCGCAGTGTTGCAAGGCACACACGCCACGCCACCACGAACCACATCACAAACTCGCGATAGTCCGAGTGGCGCTTCAGGGCAATTGGCCTTGGGAGAAGGAAGTTTGGGTTCGCATACAAGATCGCCACCACAAATGGGAGCGCATGGTACTCCAACATCCTTTGCACCGCCTCCCGGAAGGGATGGCCCTTTGCTAAGTGCTGAAATGCTGCAGCGCATGCAAGCCTCGGAGCAGAGGGCCCCGGTATTGTACGGTAGAGGGCCTGAAAGGCCACAGAGTCGCACCGACTCGTCATCATTCCCTCAAGAAGCCATTCAAGCTGAGGTTGCACGGCAGCTAGCGGGGTTTGGTGAGAGAGCTGAGGCCCAGGACCTTGAGATACAGAGGTTAAGGAGGCAGCTGGAGGAGAGAGACCACATGTTGAGGGAAGTAGTGGTAGCAAACACTGCCCTGCAGGCAACCACACCTACTTTGCCGCTACTCCAACATGCCCAATCACAGGTCACTCAGGTTGTCAGTCCAATCACATCTCAGGTACAAGGTGTGGCACCTCAAGCGGTTGATGCCAGTAGGACTGTGGCACCTGCTATTCAGGCTACATCTTTTCCGGGTTTGTTGTCGAGTTTCATGTCCGGGTTGGGAGGTTTGCGTGGGTCTGCAAGGGATGCAAGCGCACCTCCACCCGGAAGGGTTGGACATCAGACATATGCCAATCCAAATCGCGCGTCTCCTCCCGGAAGGGCTGGGATCGGACCAACAGCGGGTGGTCTGGCCTCTTCTGGCCCAGACTCCCAATCTCGCGTCGAAAACCCCAGTCTGGAGGAGATCAGGGCCTTTAGTGCCCATGCCGACAGTGCAACGCCAGGGGGAACACGATTGCCTCAGGCACCGCCCCCACCAGGGTTGCAAGGAGGCTCAGTTCCAGGAGGAGCGGTTCCCATACCGCATGAGGGGACTCACGGCCTTGCGTCAGGCAACCCCGCATTAGATGCACTAATCCTAGGAATGCAACAACTACAAAGCGTGCAATTGCAGCAACTCCGGGGTAAGGATAGTGATGCTCCTGAAGTGGTAAAGCCCGGCACCTCAGATTTGCCCAAACTGGCCACTCCAGAACCCTCAACAGGATCCCTGGATTTCCAGGATTGGTTACAACTGGTAAGTGGTTTGATGGGTGACCTTTCGGACACTTCGGGCTCCTGGTGGGCGGCTGTTCTGCAGGTGAGCCGTGACGCCTATGAGAGGTGGGTAGTTTCAAGTCCCATTGAGCGTTTGCGCATAGAGCCTGATGACAGACCGGAGTTGGTAGAGGGCAAATGGAGTCGGGTGAATGCTAGGGCGTGTGTGATGCTTTTGGGTGCCCTGGATGAGACGGTTAAGGCGGACCTCATAGCCCGTAAAACCACGCGGATGGCTACACACATTCTGTTCAGGTTGCACCCAATACCTCCCGGGAGGGACGGCTGAGAGGTCTTTAGTGTTGACCAACTTGCAGCATCCAGCGGAGGTGGACAACGCAACGTCAGGCGTGTTAGCTTTGAGGGCTTGGGGTAGGTGGTATCAGCGCTGCGTGGATTGCGGCATGAATTTACCGGATCCCATGGTCCTGGTGAGTGCCCTCACCTCAATGACTAAGCCAGTGCTTCGTAAGGAACCGGAGGTAACATGGCGCACGGAGCTAGTGAAGAGCACATTGCAGCTCCACGGACGCCCCTCGGAAGAGGCGGTCAGGTCTTATCACAGGCATTTGTTGGCTGAGTTTGAAACGCTAGCCGGAGCAATGGTGCCAGTGAAGTCTGACGACGCCCACGTTCCACAGCTCAAGGCAGTGAGCGCAAATGAGGCAGGTGAACGTGTCAGTGGGGCGGGTGGCACACCATGCAAGTTCTTTTTATCGCCTAAGGGCTGCAGGTTTGGCCAAAAGTGCCGATACGCACATTCAATGGCCGAACTCTCTAAGGATGAGCGGTTTAAGAAGTGCTTGAATTGTGGTTCCGAGGAGCATCGCGCTAAGGATTGCAAGGCAGGTAAGGCGGAACCCAAAGCGCCAGATCAGAAACCGTCCGTACAGGCAGCTTTCACATCCTCAGGCCAACCCGTTGTCCAAGCCACCCCAGTGCTCAACATGGACACCTTCATGCAACAGGCAGTTCAAGCCTTAAGGCAGTTGGAGGCCAATCCACCGCGCAGCGACACCACACCACATGCCCAGCCGCCTCAACCTCAGCCGGAAGGCTTGAGTACTGCATCGCAGCAGCCCTCAGCGCCACCGGCATCGTCCGTACCCGCATCGTCCACACCCAATCCTTCGGTGAAGAGGCTGACGATTCGCTCAGTCGTGCCCGTAAGCTGTTTCCCGGTTTCGGGCCCCCCAAACCGGGACTCCCAACCCCCCCATCAGGAGGCTCCAACTCGGGGGTTGGGAAATGCCGAAAATCAGGGTGGGACAAACCCCCATTCTCGAGCCGAGAATGGGGGGTTGTCTGTGGCCCCCAAACCCATAGCATATGCGCTTTTGGACTCCGGTGCCACACGCCCCATGCGGCAAGCATCATCTGAGGAGGAGTGGGAGGCCACAGAGGAGGTACAAGTGAGTTTAGCCGGCGACCAAACCACAATCATGCGTTTGACGCGCGTGGGCACTCTCCTACTGCCTCCCGGGAGGGACGGCCTGGTGCAGCCAATTGTCCCCATGGGTGCCATCATAGAGCAGTTGGGATACAAGCTAGTTTGGTCCGCTGGTAGTTGCAAGCTTTATCCTCCTGATGGTAAGTCGCTGAGGCTTCGGGTCAAAAATGGTTGCCCGGAATTGGTTGAGAGCCAGGCCCTCACATTGATATCACAGTTGGAGAAATGCACGGTGACCCGACGTGGGATTGAACGCAACACATCCACAACTTCGCACCCCTCGGTTGCATCTCACTCACGCTTGAGCCCCCATACCACTGAACGCCCAGTGGAGGATGGTTCCCAGCGTAGTGGTTCCCACACGTTGTGGTTCAGGTTGGACGCCAGCGATGGGGATGACGACAATCCCGCAGGATGCAATATCAGCGATGGCATCAGGGATTTAAGCGTTTATGACTTGGATTGGACGCGCCTGCCACATTCCCCACTCGGAAGAGATGGGTATACAGCAATACCAGATCTACCGCAGTGGTGTACGGGTGAACTTTGTGTAGATGGTTCTGGGGCGTTGTGTGGGTTTGGGCCGCGTGACGTCCAGCCAACCGTCCACAAGGTCCTAGCCACCAAGCTAGGAGGAGAGCACGAAACCACAGTGCCCAATAGTGTTGCAGTCCCAGCAACCGCCTTCCGGGAGGGTGGGACCCACAACACACGCCGACGTCTGACGGCAAACCTCCTTTTCCAACTGTTGTTGTGGCTGCTCGTACTTGTCGTCCTTCGCATAAGCTTGCCTTCACTTTGCACCGGCGTGTTCAGGACACTGCCCTCAGCAGCTACAGGCACTCCAGTACCGTACTGGGTTGAGGAGGAGCCGTGCGTTAGGTTGCTTGGTTTTAGTGGCACAGTACCAGGACCTCCAGTCCAGGAGGAGTCCCAACAACTTTTCGCAGGAAGTGTGCCGCTCAAACTTTTGTGTTTTGCCGCAGTACCGAAAGGCCTTGTGACAGCAGCCTTTTGGAGCGTGCTCGGGTTTAACCTGTTCCGCACTGCGGAAGCAAGTGCAGTTGGTCAACGTGATCAGCCGGTGAGTGCTTTATTCAGGCTTGTTTTCTTCCTGCAAGTCATAGGCGCTGCTAGCCAGGCAGCAGACGAGGAAGAAGACTTGTCTCTCCCTGCATTGATGCAGATTTGATGTTGGCAGTATCCATCATTTGCATTGGCATTTGCTTCATTGCAGTGTGGGAGTTCTGCAAGTGGTGCCTTCAAGGCGTCATCTCCCGCCGAAAGGCAGGGACACCCGTGTTGTCCCTGAGCCCCCGCAAGGCGCGTAAGTTACAGCGCCTTCGAGATCAAACTGCGCAGGCCATCCAGGCCGAGATCTCTGCACGTGAGGAGGCAGCAAGCTCGCAGTCTGTTGCTGCAGTGCCCAGACGCCGCCCCTCACAAACAACTCGCACGCGTGAGCAGGCAGGTGGAGCACCAACGCGCTACTTTGCAACACCCGAGGGGACCAAGCTCCACCGCACTAAGACCTGTTCCACGCTCGCCCACTCGCCCAGGTTTGTTGAGTTTCAAGTGTGCCAGCAGTGCCACCGGAGTGCTGCCGACCACACCCAGCACAGCACAGGGTAGGAACTACTCCACCCTAACGGGTTGGATCTTTCAGTGAGCTTCATCCGCAGCTGTGTCTTTTTCCGCACGAGGTGCCTTGAGAGCCCTCGCAGAGTGAGGGCAGTTGGCCCAGCTTTTGCCAGGTAGTTCAGGGTAGGCATGGCGTCACCCTGACGGGTTGACCTGCAGTAGCAAGTAGGTCGCAACTCCCTGGCGGGGCTGCGAAGGAGGAGTGCTGAAAAGCATGCCACCTTTGTAGCTCACGTCACGTGTACATGTGAAACGTTTTCCTCTTTTGCTCTTTAGGCCCGAACAGTACAGCCTTGAGCAATGCATTTTAATCACATTTGCACATGCATCAACATTGGTGTCATGCCCTAGTCATGTTTCTGATCTTTTGCTTGCGTGTAAAACCTCCGTGTTCGAGTGAGCCATGGGCAGTTGGGAAGACTCTGCTAGGGGATTAGCTACCCCACTAGTAGCTTCTGCTTCTATGCCTGCTGGTTCACTCCAGCAATAATTGTTATATATGCTATATGTAGCCCAAACCGTATACTATATTGGCGAAAAGTTACAGTGCAATACGTACTATATGCTAGCCGTACCCAGCACCTAAGCCCCACCACGTTAAGCTTGCACCGTGCATAGTTGCAAAGCATCGCCAGGAGACGCCGACACTCCAGCTGAAATGTCCTTCGCTCTGTCGTGGGCTTTATCCGCAACTGGCTGCAGATGCTAATCTGCCATATGTGTAGCCGTAGTGCAGCATAGCGCTAGATGATAGTCGTTATATTTAATTATAATAATGTTGTGTCGTAGTAGCTATATATATATAGCTGGCCTATAGTCCCAAAGGGTCCTATATGTATCGATATAGTAGAATGTAGGGTTTCCATATATTTATAAGAATTATAATATGGAAGTACCCCCCCATAACAGTACTAGTACAAAAGGACCCTTTGGGAGTAGTATTATCCGTATAATATTCGTGGTGGTGGTGCAACTGGTGGTGCTGGTGGTGCTGACGGTGTTTGCTGGTGCTGAAGCCGTTAACGTTGGGAGTAGTATTAAGACCATGCGGGGACTTCTCGGTCGCATTAACGGATGATGAGCGGTGTATACATATATCCCAAAGGGTCCTAAGTACCTGTAGGGTAGAATGTACGGTTTACTATTGTGATCCAGAGAAGTATCCCCCATAACAGTACAGGACCCTTTATTAGGCTCTGAAGGTGCAATTGGTGCATGATGCTGGTGTACACGTATGTGTGAATTAAGCTTGGCAATAAAACCTCAGACCCCGAACAATTCTACCACCCGACAAAACCCTAAATCTCCGAGCGGTTCGGGTCTTCTCCTCCAACATTTGATGCCGTCCACAATCATCCGGAAGAAGAACACAGACCACCTCTTGGTAGTAGAGCTCGTAGCATCAACTCCAGGACCCCAGCTTGGATCTTCACCTCCTCGAAGCGAAAGCGTAGTAGCAACACAATCGCACTCGGGCCTTCCATCCGGAGTCACATGTGAGACTGGTATCTGGTACTCCCGCTGAAATCCTTGCCACACCGTGGAGGACCACCACCGAGATGCCGGGCTCGCCGTTGTTACCAAATACGGGCTAAGGCGTCTGTTGAATCTAGCTCCTTCCTTTGCCACCATCCAAGCAAGCAGCTGTTTCGTACTCAGCTCCAAACTGGAGTTCGAAGGAGGAGCCCCGACGATCCCTTCAACTTGGCCCCTGCAAGCAGCCCACATGAGAGCTTGAAAAGCCGCACTGTTGCCCTTGAGCGTGAACATCTTGCTTCGGTTGAGGTTGAAGTTGACGACCATAACAGAGTCAGTCTCCACGACCTTCAACTCTTCTGACGGCTCATTGTCTCTCTCGAACAGCCTCACAATCCACCGCTTCGACAGCATGGCCTTTCTCTGGGATCTTCGGATTGGCAAGGCCTTCAAGTAGCGCTTCCCCCGACTCATCATCAAGTCCAACGTTTACAGCAAGCAGCGACCGTAGCTCACCATCTACACCTTGAAGGGGACACGCTGGGGACTCCAAAGCCTGAAGTAAATGCTCTCGCCGACCTGTTTGAACATAGGTTGCAAACATCTCATCCCAGTCCTTGATATCGGCGAGGTCCAGAGTGCCCAGGAAGGTCTGCATCGTTGCATCCTGGAGCTCCTGAAGCTTCTTCTGCTCTAACTGGTGGATCAAGTCGAGAGCCTGCGTCTCACCCAACAGCGGGCAGTTTCCCTTGACAACCGTCTTCAAAACACCAAATTGAGGGTGAACAATTTTCAAGCCTCCCCTTTTCGTCCATGACAGCTCACAGCCCAGAGTCTGAACTAGAGCACCAAGAGGAAGTATCGTTGACATGTCCTGCGCATCCTTGGTGTCCGTCGTAGGCATGAGCGTGCCGGCCTTGTTTTGCTGGAGAGTGATTGATTTGCCCCCTGCAAGTTCTACACGCACTGGAACTCCATCTTCCTCATGTCGAGCCCTTTCACGGAAAGCATGGGAGGCGCCGCTGTCAAGCAGAGCCATTCTCTCATCCTCATCAAAACCCAAACCTGCCATTTGGACCTTGAGCTCCTGAAGACTCGTATCTGAAGACACCTGCAAAGCCATGACTACCCCCCATAAATAGGTGGCAGGGGAGGGGGGTTACCCTGCGCCCCACATATTTGCCCACCCCCCCCCCCTTGTCCCCCCCCTCTCCCCCTTCATTGTCCACACATTCCACCTTCTTTACCATGGGATTTTAGGCTTAAGTGCTAATGGGGCATTACGGGCTACAAGGGATATAAGTGATAAGGGTCAGGCGATCAATGCGTTCCATGCATCAAAGATGTTAAAGTGGGAGGGATATGAGGGTACAGATGTTTTTTTACGGTTAGCTCGTTTGTCATGCGTTTGGCATGTATGGCGAGGGGTATGTGATGCATGTGGGGATCGGCTCATTATGCTCATTTGGCTCAGGGGAGTCTGGAATGTCTGGGACTGTGGAATATCTGGGAAAGGGAGTGTAAAGGGTATGAAGGGCATGAAGGGCTTGTTTCCGGTCGGAAAGTTTGGAATACATGCGGTATAAAAACGACGTGTCAGGAAAGGCCTGGATGCGTATTCCAGGGCCCGAAACATGCATCCACACATGTGCCAACCACAACCAGTCCAGCAGCAAGTCCGGTTTACTTTCAAGCCACGGCAACTTGCCCTACAAACTCCCAAAGCATAGGGAAAGGCCTGGATATCCTGGATGCGTGTTCCGAGGCCCCAAAAATGCATCCAGACATGTGCCAGCCAAAACCCGTCCAGCAGCAATGCAGCTTTACTTTCGTGCCAAACCAAATTCTTTTAGAATCCCCCAAGCCCTCAGGAAAGATCTGAGTGCGTGTTCCGGGGGCCGAAACATGCATCCAGGCGCCTGCGAACCGAAATGAATCCGGACAGCAGCAACCCAGGTCTACCTTCCAGCCAAAGCAATTTGCTCTGGAAGCCTTCAAAGCATCGGGAAAGGCCTGGATGCGTGTTCCGAGTCCCGAAAAATGCATCCAGACATGTTTTGGACCAAACCCGTCCACCAACAGCCCAGCTTTACTGTCCAGCCAAAGCATGTTGCCTAAGAAATCCTAAGAAGCCACCACAGCATCGGGAAAGGCCTGGATGGGTGTTCCGGGGCCCGAAGAATGCATCCCGACAGGTGCCAGCCCAAACCCGCGCATCAGCAATCCAGGTTTGCTTAGAAGCCCCCAACGCCTCAGGAAAGGCTTGGATCGATGGCTTGGATGCGTGTTCCAGGGCCCGAAAAACGCATCCAAACATCTCAGCCCAAACTCGTGAACCAGCAATCCAGCCTTACTTGCGTGCCGAACGACGTGTCAGGAAAGGCCTGGATGCGTATTCGAGGGCCCGAAACATGCATCCACACATGTGCCAACCACAACGCATACAACACAACGTCAAGACAAGCTATATGTGTGACTTGCGCTTCCTGCCGGCGGCAGGAAGCACAAGTCCTCCTCACGGAGCACAAGTCCTGCTTCCAAACCCTTTGTTCCTAGAAGTTTAACTGCCGACTTGCGCTCTGTCCTGCTCTACTTGCGCTTCCTGCCGGTGGCAGGAAGCACAAGTCCCACATTGTCAGAGACACACGATGATGTTTCGCAGGGACGCTGTAATGGCTCCGTTTACGGTAGTGACGCTGCAGCATCACAAGCATATCTAACATTAATTTAGAACTCATGAAACATCATGAAACCCCTCCGTCCATGCAAGTCCTGGCCTGAGGCAGCCGGTGCAGCCATGACATCCATGGAGTGTTGAACAAATGACTTGCAGTTATCATATCACGTCACAGACCAGATTTTGTCCAAAGTTGTGCCCATGATGCCCATGTACCCCACCTGTCTACGCTGTGTATGCTGTCTTCCGTATCTTCCGCATCTTCTGTGTACTTCAACGTCTGCATTGTCGGCTAAGCTGACCGTTGGCAAGGTGTGCAACGTATGGCATGCGCAAGGTGTCATACGCAGTATACGCACTCCACATGCCCCAGTCTGTGCATATTTTGCATCACTTGCATCCCAGCATCCTGTACTCATATAAACGATTCTGAGACGGTTTGTTTTTTCCGCTCTTGCATCTCTTGCCCCCCAGAGCCCCCAGCTCAGTCCTACATGTCCTAAGTCTACGTCTTCTGGCTGCATATGCTGGATGCGCTTATGCATCAGCCGCTTCTTCAGAGAGGACATACATCCTTGCCCCTCCTGTGAGTCTGCGGTTTAGGGTTGAGGGCTTTGAGGGTTTAGGGTTTCGCGTCGAGGGGTTTAAAGTTTAGGCTTTACGGCTAAGGGTCGGTTTGACGCTCACACTCGGACATACTCGGACAAGGGATACAAGGGAGGGTTTAGGGCTTAGGGTTTAGGCGAGTGTGTGCGTCGAAACCCTCCTAGACCGTAAACCCTCAAGTCTAAATCATGTAAAGCCTAAACCCTTAGACCCTAAACCCTAAACCCTGAACCCTGAACCTTAAACCCTAAACCCTAAAAGGCCCAAAGTGTAGGTTTTCGTTTTCGGGGTTAGATGGTTAGATGGTTCAGCGGTCCTACGGGCTCTAGGGTCTGGGGTTACCTAAACCCCAAAATCCCGAAGTCAAACTCTGAACTGTAAAGCGCATATAACCCATACGCTGAACCCTCATCTCCAATCCCTGAAACCCTGATCCCTACACCCTAATCCCTAATATCCCTAGACCCTTAACCATCATGACGGTTTAGGGATTTTGGGTTTTTTTAGGATGATTTAACCTTTTAACCCTCCCCAAATCAGTACTGAATCACCATGCCAAAATAATAGGTGGCTGCCTCCTATTACCCCCCCCCCCACCCCCCCCCCCCCCCCCCCCAGCAGAGGGTAGTCATCAAAGCCTGCAATCTCGTCAAACGGTTCAGCATAGTATTGGCTTGTTGTAGCAGTGCACTTATCTCTTGAGCTCGTTCGTCCTGGCCGGGATTCTCCAACGTGGAAGTCGTAGAGGAAGTTGACTGAACCACCGGCGTTCCAGGCGCCGCTGTTGTAGCATTTGTTGACGCTTGCATCACAGAACCCGGTCCGGAAGCTGAAGTCGTAGAAGTTGCTGCTCCAATCGCCGTTTGGATTGATTCCAAAATCGCTTGCTGTTGCTGCGTAGAGACCTGGTTGAGGGTCGGACTTGTGGTTGTAGTCGATGAGGTTCCCCTGCCAGGCTGTGGTTCACGACCCTTCGTAGGAGACGAAGGTCTGTTGGCCTTCACCGGGCATTCCTTCTGAACGTGTTTCACCGAGCCACAATGCCAACATCTTAACTTCTTGGCCTCTTTGCTCTGGAAAACATGATCGAACTTGCAGCCTTGCCCTTTGGAGCAGCCATTGTCTGACATGAAGTACTTGCACGGCGTCCTTCCCGAACCGGTAGCCGCATCTCCACCCCTCCTTGTAGGTGAACTAGTTTCTCCAGTTCCCGCTCCTTGGCCTTGAGCGTTGATGCCTCTCAGCTTGGCTCCATCTGCCCCTCCGCCTGTTGTAGTAGTGGTTGACCGAACTGGCGTGGCCTGCTGGAGCTCTGCCAAGATGTGCTGGTAGTACTTCAAGACATTCTCCACCGTTGGCCTATACTGTAGTTGAAGCTGCGATTTGGAGAGGGCCAATCTGAACTTCACCTCGGGATGCGCTTCTACAGCCCTCGACGAGATCACCTCTAGTGCCCGAAGTAGCACCGAGCCATCAGGAACGGCCACAAACATTTCTTCAGCTCGTTGCAAGTGGCGTCGCCATCGCCTAAGAGAAGAAACCACCTCCGCCACATGAGTGCTGCCTGGGGAACCTTCAAGGTGTCGAAGAATTGATGCCCTCTCTGCCGAACCGCCCGGCGCGTAGAGGACGTGGAGCCTGAACAGCAATCCCGTCACGCAAGAAATCCTGTGGGTGACCGCGTCATCCTTGGCCTGCCGCTGCAGCGTAGCCAACAGCAGAGTGAGCACACGTCGCTCCAGTCGTGACCACTTTGGATCCTTGAGCTCACCAGGCAAGAGAGGTTCCATCGCAAGCCTTGCTATGGGGTCGCTCTGCTGGTACCTTTCGTAGGTCTCCCTGGCACACGCCAAGCACATAGTGAACCAAGCCGACGCTCGATCACTTAGTCCTCCAACTGCTTGCTCAGTCTCGTACAACCAGTCGGAAAAACTGACAGCAGACGAATCCCCCGCCAGCTCTGGCATGCTCGGCAACTCGATAGTGCCCTTGACTTCCGAATCCCTCGCATCGCCCTTGCCCATATACACCTGCTGCAGCTGTCTCATGCCTTGCACCAACAGCTGAAGTGACTCCACTGAGCCTTCCTGGCCCCCTGGAAGTTCCGCCGACGGCCTCCGAAACCGCGCTCCAGAATGATCTTCGCCACCATGGATTCCTCCGGAAGTTCCGCCGCTTCCACCTCCAGGATCCAGCGACGCTTCCCGTCCGACCTGTGGTTGAGGTTCCCCTCGCCCGGCTTCAGGAAGTTCGCCCCGAGATCTGCCAGCACCTTCATATACTAGACCTGGAGGCCCTTGACATTCTTCCGCAGCTCGCGTTCCACCAAGAGGATTTTCTCCCAGGTTCTCCCGAAGGATCCCGGCGTTCCCCTCGGCCTCCAACCTCGCCGCGCAACGTCGCTCCAGCTCCTATTGTCCTCATCCTTGTGTTGGCTTCCATAAGAGCTCGTTCTAACTCTTCGTTCTTCATCTTGAGCGTAGACACTTCTCGGTCTCTGCCTTGCATTGCCAAAGCCACCTGCCGCCTCACCTCTTCCAAGATCGTCTCCTGGTTCACGCTGCTGGAAGAGGCATCTTCCTCTTGCCTTCTTTGCCGAGGACTTATCAACGAGCTCCTCGACTGATGCATAGCCATAGCCTGTTGCATGTCCGGCGTGAAAAGCGTCGCCTGAACAGTAGGCTGAGCCACCGAACTCATACCCGTGGACATAGTACGACCCACGTTCAACACCGGACCAACAACTCTCCTTTGAAGGATATCACCGAAACTCCACCAAGAGCCCCGTGCCCCTTGTGTTGTTGTCTCATGACTACGCACCGAGTGGAAACTCTCAGACGAAACCAAAGGAGCTGCATAGTCCCCTTGCACATTCACAGTGGCACTGCTCACCTGGACCATGCCATGAGAACCTTGCTCGGGAGGTTCCAGTGGTAGCTGAGGTTCTGGTGGGAGATCACGAGGTCTTCTTGGAGAGGCTAGACGTAGAGCCGGTCTTGTCAGCTGTGGTTGCATAGGGTCTTGAGGCGGTAGAGGAAGTTGAGGTGTAGTCAAAGATTCTGGACCCTTTACGGAAGTAGCTGGCGCAGGTTGCTGTAGATCACCAGGACTTTGCTGTTGCTGGCCAATCGTAGTAGTCACCGGCATGGTAGATTGCGGCTGAGTAGACTGCTGAGACTGAGACGTTTGCGTAGGCTGCTGTGGCGATGGTGCTTGCGTAGGCTGCTGCAGCTGTGGTGTTTGCGTAGGCTGCTGCAGTTGTTGTGTACCACCTCCACTAGCACTCTGACGACTAGCTACGTCCCCTTCAGAGATATGCCCCGTCGTACCATACGTCATCGCGCCCAGTCCGGTTGTAGTCACTTGTCGCGTAGCCGCTTCTGTTTCCACTCTACCCGTCGATACAGGTTGACTGCTTACTGAGGCACTAACTTCTCCCAAGCCCTGGCTCACACTTCCACGCAAAGGCTGTCCTATAGACCCTGTACCATTCAACATTCCAGCTTGCGGACCTGTCGAAGTCCTCTGGGATCCATAGTCTGGGCCGCCAGCTTCTCCCTCCAAGACAGGTTGCTGTCCTGATAAAGGTTGGGAGCTCATAACCTGCAGATGCTGGGGTTGCGGAGTGCTCTGCAGACAGTGATCTTCACGCAAGGGACATGGCACTGCAAAGGCTTACCGTTTTCCGCTTAACACAAAAGTCGAAGCTTCAGTGATGCAAAGCCCTTGATTTGGCTTATGCTGGCTTCTGCCGATCATGGCTTACATGCGAACTCCTGAGAAGCTTTACACACAGGATCGTCTTCATGCATGCTAGAGCCATTCGTTCAAACGGATCAACATCGCATATCAAGGTATTCCACAAAATCCTAGTTTAAACCTTGCCTGTAATCCGTTCAGAATTGGTGGCCTGGCGACACCAAAGCCGAGCAACTCCGAAATGCATACGTCGACTTCCAGCAGTGGAGCCGCAGCAGAAAGATTTCGTACCTTAGATTGGAAGTAAGTTTTTGGATCCGCGGATAAATCAGGGTTTATAGATTTAGGGTTGAGCTTTTTTCTTGGCGGGGGTTCCCGCGATCAGATCAGGCATTCTCAGCCTGTCTTTGTGCCGAAGATGTTGCGGAGACAGAATGGCGAACTGGAGCTCGCGGCCAAAGCATACAATGCCCCTGGCCTTGACGTCTAGATCTAGCATAATAAGTAATAGTCCGGGGGACGGCCAACATTCAGGCACGTGTCATCTGCAGCTGGATGGCCGATGTTACTGTGAACGCCGCTACGGCCGAACATGGTATTCCGATCTTCCGGGCACTTGCACAATGCATGAGCCGCGGCTGGAGCTAGTCATTTAAGTAATATAAAGATTATGTGGCTAGCTAGGCGATTCAGCTTTTGCTCCCGGGCCCAAGGTACTACCAATCGGATATTTTCAATGTCGTCGAGCAATCCCCGCGGTATCTGAACGATGAACAGATTCAGAGAATCAAGCAGTCGGCCGCGGCTTGTCATAGTTATGTATTAATGTGCCCTTCGGGTTTGAGGTTTCTAATATTAATTTTTGTTTGGGTGGCGATTATCAGGACAATGCTGTTGCTGGCTATGCCATGGTTGCTGATGAAGCAGTTCAAGATCCAGATTTGCATCAGGGGTTGTGCCCGATGAGACCCAAGGTTCATGTGCCTGGGACATCTTGAGCCGATTAGGGTTTAAATTAGATTCGGGAAGATAGGGGTGTATGGCTGCTACGGGCTCAGGGCGATTATATTAGAGATTATAAGGCATCGAGTTCGGGGTTTAGGGGATAGGGGTTTGGGCGATTATGATTAGGTTTATAGGTTTGCGGTCAAGGGTACACGGGCCCGGGGTTTACGCATTAATTCTGCTATATCTGCCATGCCAAGGGGCTTCAGGAGATGGTGTGGTTCGCTGAGCACGAACGTGGCTGGTCGATCATGGGCCGGGGTGTTTATTAAAAAAACCTACTAGTACTGTACTATGTACATATATATATATATATATATATATATATATATATATTATATGCACATATATTAGGGATATATCCGGGTTTTGGTACTAGTATACTATATTACACTTTACAATATATTAAGTCCCGAAGAGCTGAGGACTGAACTGGCGATACTATCATACTTTCTCCAGCGAAGACTTCAATGGGCACTTTGTTCGAGCCACGGCTGCTACTTAAATGTCGGTTCGAAATTATAAGCCTACTTAAAAAGATAATCTTTTATTCGTGATGACCAATCCCAGATATTGCTGCGAAAGCTCACCCGCGGACGATGGAACGGCCCACGCTCCAGAGGTTCTATGTTTGGCTGCTTGATCGAAGATCGTCGAGTATCGACTTTATTATTCTAGAATACGATATATATGCTGGCATAGAAGGGTTATTTAACTACGCGGGTATCGCTAAGGTTGGGTTGCAGGGGTAAGGCCTTATCTTTTTTTGGGCCCGGGTTCCGGGGCTATGCTGGGGCAGCAAGGCTCCAGATGCAAGCTTCTGGAGCTGCTACTTGAGATGGCTGCTCGGCTTGTATCTCATCATCAATCAATGACATAATGCAGCAATCCCGGGATCCCATTAATGCATTATAAATGCTAGCGATCCTGCCAGCCAAGGCTGGGGATCCACATGACGCCAGATGACAGTGGGGAAAAGATGATGCTTCAGCATGCGCAGGGGCTTGTCGTAGATCCAACCCGAAAACCAAAGCCCTGAAACTAAACATATATTGCAACCCGACCCTAAATCCGCCAAACACACATGGTCCCGCAGTCGGCCTTGCAGCCCTAATTCCCAAAGGGTCCTATGTACTGTTATGGGGGATACTCCCAATCAGTCATACTAGTAATTCCTAAAATAGAAACCCTACATTCTACTATAAAGGTACTTTGGACCCTTTGGGATTATAAGCGGTCTAGTCGTCGACTATCTCCCCGCTAGGCTTGATCCGTGGCCACTTATAGTCGACATGGCCGCCAAATCGAACCGCAAATAGCTTGTATAAGCTTCCAAGCTAGCTAGCTATCTCGGAAATTTGAACCCGGAAGCCCTTAAACCCTGGGACCCTAGTCGCTGCGATGGGCCTGTGCAGCAGGCATGCACTCGATCGGCAGGTGGTGCATGGTATACGCATGCCGTGTAACATGCACACGTACATGCACACATACATATATTATGAATATATCTGGGTTTTTACACTCAAGTTGTTTTTGTACGTGTGTTTTGTCGGCCCCGTCCCTGCCATTCCTCGTTTAAACATGAGATTTCGACCCTGGTGTAAACACGTTTCGAGTGGCAAGAGCCTGTTTTTTGTAAGGTTTAGTGGCGACCTCGTTGGAATACGGTCATTGTTTTAAAGCTTGTTCATTATTCCATGTTCCGGTCTATGGTGAAAGTTGCAGGGAAGCTACATTCGTCTGAGGTAGCACTTTTGTCAGAGAGGCATGTTGTCATGCTGGTTCGGACCAAATATACACTTCCCTGGAATGCGTCTACTATATCGATACGCCGGACCCTTTGGGCTTTGCCAACAACCAGAACCATCTTTATCAACACGTCACCATCCTATCATTGCCTTTTGTGTTGTGTTCAAGCCTTTGCACACCACACACCAGAGACACAGATGTAGACAGATACATACACACATGCATACATTCATACATGCCTTGTGCATACCATAGCTCTGCTTGTTCCGATTTTCGTCAATATGTTGGCCTTACCTGGCGGAGGCATGGCACGGGCTCTTTAAATGCCACCCCGCACAGACTCTGGCCGTGTCTGGGGCCGAACATGTCTTGCCGTGCTGGAGCAGCCCCTTAAAGCCAACTTTGTTCATGCCGTCGCATATAATTTACATGCATATGTATATACACACGTAGACATGAACAGCCTGACTTTCCGATGCTCATGACTTGTGTGTTGATTGTGCGTGATAGGAATTCAGCTGCAGGAGCAACAGCGATGCACAGCCTTTTGAGTTCCATTGAAAGTTTGGTTATTGTTGGAGGCTTCACTCCTGTGTTCCTTGAAACTAAGACACCCTAAACCCTCAACCCAAAACCCTGAAAGAAACCTTAAAGCCTAAACCCTGAACAGCGGGTATGTGATGATTCTAAGGAAAATCAAGGAGGATGGGGAGGCGGCTGGCCCGACGGACCTGGACGAACTGGCTCGGCATTGGAATGCACTCTACATTCGGGTGTCCAAGACTGTGAAGGAGCTGTCGACCTGCCAACCCGCCGCCGATCTGAAGAAGTTCTTGGGCGGCTTCCGGAGCTGGGTGAACCAGTTCAAGAGAAAGGTCGGGAACTCGAAGAAGACAAAGAAGGACAGCAGCAAGGACGAGAACAAGAAAGCGAAGGTGAGCGGCCCTCCTGCGGGAACTGGTACGAAGATGGGCGAAGAGATCCTCAGCAGCTATGCCGGGGCCTTGAATGCCGGGCAGGAGGTGTCTGAGAATTTCAATTTGGCCAAAGAATGCTTCAATGCCCTCGACTGGCTGTGCCAGGGCAAGGGGTCGCAGTGCCTGCATATCACCGCAGCACAGACAAAAGCCTTCGTCGAGCTGACCTACTTCGCTCAGCAGAAAGACTGGGTCTATGAGAGCTGGAACAAGGACAAGGCCAAGGCCCAGGTGTCCTTGGCCCTTGTGGCCAAGAGCAACATTGCGACGAAGATCCTCAAGGCTTGGGCCAACGTGCTGGGAAAAAAAAAGCAGAAGATGAATTGATCTCCGTGAGCACGGACGTGGATCCCCTCCTCGGCGAGATCTTCACACCCTGCTTTTGGTCCTTCGGCAAGAAGACCCACAAGATCTTCTACTCCACCGACTACGGCCTGACGGAGTTCAAGGTGATCTTGGAAGGGGCATGCCTCTTCATCGGCAGGCGCCTGTGCCAGATGACGGCCTCAAAAGCTTCGGCAGCTTCTGCCAGACCGTGAGCGAAAACGACAGCCAGAACTGGCTGGATGAGTGCAACGATCATGGCTGGGCTGTTCTGCTGAAGAAAGGCGACATGCTGGGAATCCCAGCTGGCCACGCCTACATTCAGGTCTGTGTGGAAGAGTCCCACGGCGTCAGGATCCTGAAGGGCTCCCGCCGTGGTCTTTTGCAAAGCCAGCAAAGAGATCCTGAAGGCCAGGATCGAGCAGTGGCCGGAGTTGCAAGAGCATCGTACCGGAAAGCTGCTGGCCTGGGCGAACTCGGTGTGAAAGAGTTTTCTTTTTCTGGATGAGGTTTTCCGGAGCGATGGAAGAGACGTGGCTCCAGCGAGGCGTTGCTGAGCGGGAGGGAGAGACCAGGCTTGCCATGCACACACCAAGATGTGTGTGTGTGTGTGTGTGCGACGTTTGATCTTTGTCCAGGGTGACCTGCAATGCTTTTTACTTCGAGCCCGAATCTTCGGTGGTTCATCCCAAGGTTTGCTTCTCGCTATCGCAATTCCGACCTTCCGCAGCTACCGGATTGCGAGAAAAAGAGTGCTTGTGTGCGAAGCGGTAGGATTGTTGCTGTAAGCGTGTGTTCATGTTCTCTCCATGTTCTCTCCATGCAGCTGTTGGCCTGAACGGCTTCCGTGGCAATGTGAAACGGTAGGATTGTTGCTATAAGCGTTTGTGCATGTTCTCTTCATGTTCTCTCCATGCAGCTGTTGGCCTGACGGGAAGCTTTTGTAGTCCTTCGGATTCCTCCCCGCTGTCTGTAGGTATTTCACTCCCAACATGGAGAAGGTCGATTGCACCCAGAGCGATGCACAGAGACTCGAGCCGATTTCCGAGACAGAGAGTGAGAGAGAGGATGAGCGGTGCGATGCAAAGGCATCACCCGTGAAGCAGGAGTCGCCAACTGCAGAAGAGCGGTCGTGGAGCCCTACTGTGGCAGAGTACACTAGGTGCTTAGGTGCATGGAAGCATCACCAGGCTTGCTGAGCTGAAAGACCGGTGGAATACAGAACTCGGGATTTTCACCGAGTTGGAGAAGGACGACCCGGTCCAATCCTGCTTAGAGGAACGTTTTGAGCAAGGCCCAGTGTCGCTCCATACTTTCATCGAAAACGATGCAAAGGGAGTGGCACTGATCCTCTTGGACTTTCAAGCCGGGTCCTCGCATTCGTGCGAGATCGAGTGCATGGTGTACAACTGCATGGAAAAGCAGGTGGAGTATCGCTCTTGGGACCCGAAAACCCCAGCTCCAAAGCACAACACAAAGAGGAAGGCGATTAGTGAGGGGTTGTCCCGAAAGAATGCCCGCTACTTCTAATCCGAAGGCAATCCTCCATGGATCGCATCGGAAAACCCAGCAAGCACTCCAGGAGTATACTGCTGAAGGTTCCGGCGCATCCAGAAGTTGTCTCGTGAAAAAGTCGTGGGTGTCTCACTTCGTGTTCAGGGTTCTGTTTGCCAATCTAGCATCTTTAAGGTTAGCATTTACCGGAACCGGCAATGGGGTGGCCGTCGCAAAAAAATCGCTTCCATTGCGTCTGCTTTGTTGTGAAACCCCAGAAAATACGTTTACTCTACATCGTATCTCAAATGTATCCCATTTTAAGCCCTTAGACCACTCTGTGTAACCTAGCATCCGTAAGGTCAGCATGTAGAAGCGTCGGCAAGCGATGCCGCCTCCAAAAAAAAAACACCTGCATTGCATCTGCTTAGTTTTCAAAGGTCAGCGAAATCAGGTCATAGAGGCAATGCCAAAACCCCCTAAATCACTTCAACCGGCAAGAAACGATCGACGACGAAGAAAAACCAGCTTTCATGGGCGTGCCGTTCCAAAACAGTTCGTGACAGCCTGGAAACCACTCTTTTCCATAGAACCCTTCGAAAGTTTAAGGCGAATGGCTCCAAAACCATGGTGATTTCGTTGCTTTTTTTCGCAAAATTTTAATCCGAAAAAAAAGCTATATTTTTCCTGACTGCGCAGTCGTTTTCGTTGAACCCAACCATAGGGTTGACCACCCCCGTGGCGACTTAGCCTGCGCTTACTGCGGGGATGGCCTGCATGTGTCGGTACTGCAGCTTGAGTACGTCTGCGTGTGCAAGCATAGGCATCAACCTTGCAAAAGCGCTTCCAGGCCGAAATGCGCGGGGTTTTGCACTCCGCAAATCGACGACTGAGCCTCGAAGCACTGAATCCTGTCCTAGAATATCAAGAAATGCTTTGCTACACAGGCGCAAGTGTAGAAGCTCGTGCGCTGCAGCAACACAAGCAATGATCTCGCTTTGTAGCATCTGCGACACAGAAGAGATTTGATCGTTCATCAGAGCGGAGCCGCCTGCATAGTCATGTTGACGCTCATCTCCCCGATCTGCAAAGGCCATTTGCATGTTTGCCTTGCAGACTTCGTCCCCGATGCAATACATGTAAACATAAGCATCATTCTGAAGCTCAAGACATGAGATATTCACACAGCGTACATTTCTGCCATCAACTTTCACGCGCAGTAATTGTCTTTCCCAACAGATATCAAACACATGGACAGATCGAGTAGAGACAAGGAAAGGACACGAAACATGAGCCGGCGGCTGTTTCGACGCGGACCACGTCATACCAGTTCTACATTCTGTGTGGAATGGCAACAACCCGGGCAGTAGAACAAATAGACATACACTATACATTGGAGCTGTGCTCTATCACGTTTTGAGCCCGGCTCTTTACAAGAAAGCCCCTACTGCTTTTAACCCTTATTCCTGGTGGTTTAACCCTTATTTCTGGAAGGATTTAACCCTTATTTCTGGGGGGGGTGGCCCTTATTCCGGAAGCATTTAACCTTATTTCTGGTAGGATTTAACACTTATTTCTGGTAGGATTTAACGCTTATTTCTGGTAGGATTTAGCCCTTATTGCTGGTGGGATTTAACCCTTATTCCTGGTACGGTATAATCGTTACTTGTGGTAGGATTTGATCTTCCTGTGGGATTGAGCCGGATGACCCCAGCTTGTGTTTGCATACATTGCGAGTCGAGTTGACAAGAGACAAATACGCATCCCGAAATCCAGACTTCAGGGCCAATATTTGAGCCTGGAGCGGGCTTTTGTGTCCCAGGATTTAACCCTTATTTTCCCCAGAATAAGCGTTAAATCCGGACCAAGAAATAAGCGTTAAATGCCCAGCCCTTATAGGGGATTGAAAGAATTTAGCGACTATTTTTTCACCGGGATTTAACGCTTATTTTGGGGCAAATAAGGGTTAAATATTTGGTAGAATCCGGGCCTGTCGCAGCCTCCAAGGGAGGGTCCACAATCCGCAGATTCCGCAACGCACCGCCACCATCACCAACAACAACAATCTCAACAACCGCAACAATCACAACAACCGTAAGAAGGGTGAAATAGCAAGCAAAATATGGGAGAAATGCCGGCGAAAGACGGGTCAAATCGCCGGCAATAAGGGTTAAAGGCCCGGCAAAATAAGGGTTTAACGCCGGCAAAATAAGCGTTAAATGTCATGCAGAATAAGGGTTAAATATCGGCAAAATAAGCGTTAATGTCCGGCAGAATAAGGGTTAACTATCGGCAAAATAAGCGTTAAACGTCCCACAGAATAAGGGTTAAATATCGGCAAAATAAGCGTTAAATATCGGTTAAAGAAAACGTGCTAGAGCCCATTGCCAAACTATACATAATATGATTTATATAACACATAATAATCCTTGACATACCTCATGCACGTTTCTCAGCACAAACAGACACAGTCTTCAAAAGCCAAGCACATCCCATACAGAATACGGCCGAAATCCTCAAGTTTAAAAATATAACAGACTACGACACATAATATCATTAGTCCCTCACATACGTCATGCACTTTTCTTGACAAAAACAGTCGCAGCCTTAAAATACTAAGCAAGTCCCATACACAATATGGCCGAAATCCAAAACTAAGAAAAACACACCACGACACAAAACATCAATGATCCCGAACATATGCCATGCACTTTTCCTTTTGAACCACCAAGGCATCCAGCGGTTAATATATTCTGGCGGAGAGGGGCTGCCCAAAACGAATGACTGAAGGTGGCATGACCACTCACAGAACCAAGTGGCATGCAATCAAAGAAACTAGACACCACTTACATAAACTACAGGAAGCGCTTGCAGAACGTTTTTGCATAAGCCACACATAGCAACGACCCACACGAGCAGCTAGCAGAAGCAGCACGCATGAGCCACACTCAGCAAGCGTTTGCAGCAACTACTCACGCGAACTATTTGAAACCATGCATAAAAACAAACGCGCAAGTTATTCACAAAAAGCTACATTCGGGTCCATACTATTTACATCGCAGGCTGTGTAATCGCTGGATTTTAGAAACGACACTCTGACGTTTATGCTAGTTTGTTAAACTCTCCTCACCATCTCCACGTGCGGGAACTATGTGCTTTGTAAGCGGCCAACTCACCTTTCATTTCTTGAAGCTGGGCCTTCAAGTTGCTGCACTCCGACGACTTGTTTGTAAGCCTTCGACGAAGATATTACAAAAAATGCATGCGTCCTACTTTCTTAACTACTTATCTGTTAGCCCCCTACACACTGTCTTATGTCTTAGTTGCATCGCGCACATACAATTGTTACTGTCCACAGCAATAACAAGAACAGTACTTAACACAAGCACAGTAGCTCAGTTTGCAAGTACTGCACCTGGCTCCGAAGAACGCCACGCTCGGTTTCCCATGCCCTCTTACGATCATAATACCACTCACGAAGCTTGAAATAGTCGTCGTTGGGTTCTGTCACTGTTGCCGTAAGACTCGACGACACTGCTTGAGCTTTCGCCACAGCCACAGCCGAAGTAGTAGGCGGTGTCGCTACTGTACTTGCCGACACTGCTTTAGCTTTCGCCGCCACAACCGGAGCCCAAGTAGTAGGTGGTGTCGCTGCTGTACTTGTCGTCGACACTGCTTTAGCTTTCGCCGCAACCGGAGCCGAAGTAGCAGGCGGTGTCGCTACGGTACTTGTCGACACTGCTTTAGCTTTCGCTGCCACACCCGAAGTAGCAGGTGGTGTGGCTGAGGTACTTGTCCGACACTGTTTTAGCTTTCGCCGCCACGACTGGCGGAGCCGAAGTAGTGGGCACTGCCGCTGCTGTACTTGCCGACACTGCTTTAGCTTGTAACGAAGTGCGCGACTGAGGTCCTCTGGCTCTAAACTTCTTCCCCTCTCGCTCAGCAGCTTCTGCTCGCCTTTTGCGTAGCGTTGACGGACTTTGTGGCATAGCTGCTACTCAACAACGACTACTA